TGCCACGTGTGTACCTATGCAACAATTTTGCATGTTCTTCACATGTACCCCAAAACCTAAAATGCAATAAAATAAATAAATGGGAAAAAAAAAAGTTTTAAATCATTGAATGATACATGTTGAAAGGGTGACTTCTGGATGGGTGCAGTGGCTCACACCTGTAGTCCCAACACATCAGGAGACTGAGGCTTGAGCCCAGGAGTTCAAGACCAGACTGGACAACACAACAAAACTCCATCTCTACAAAAAATACTAAAAATTAGCCAGTGGTAACTTAGTGAGTCACGCCTGTAGTCTCAGCTACCCAGGAAGCTGAGGCAGGGCCCAGGAGGTTGAGGCTACAGTAAGCCATGATGAAGCCATTTCACTCCAGTCTGGGCAACAGAGATACTGTCCCAAAAAAAAAAAAAAGGGAAAGGGGGTTGACTTTATTAAATTACATCTCAATAAAAAGAATAGTAGGCCAAGCACAGTGAGCCACTGCGCCTGGCCGGCAGAAGTTTTTTGATAGTTTCTTTTTAAAAAGTTCTATTGCAATATGATTTACATGCCATAGAATTCACCCATTTAAAGTATATAATTCCAGTGTGAAGTGGCTCACGCTTGTAATCCTAAGACTTTGGGAAGCTGAGGAAGGTGGTGGACCTCAGGAATTTGAGACCAGCCTGGGCAATATCGCAAAATCCTGTCTCTACAAAAAATACAAAAATTAGCCAAGCATGTCACTGCACACCTATAGTCCCAGCTACTTAGGGGATGGAGATGGGAGGATCTTCTGAACCTGAGAGATTGAGGCTGCAGTGAGCCAAGATCATACCACTGCACTCCAAACTGGATGATAAAGTGAGGCCTTGCTTCAAAAAGAATTTTAAAAATGAAAAAGATAAAAATAAAGTATATAATTCTTGACTTTTGGGCATGAGGTTTGGTACAAAAATATTTTTAAAGTATACAATTCAGTGACTTAATATGTTCAGAGTTGTGCAAGCATTGCCACAATTTTAAAACATTTTCAGTCTAAAAAAAAATATTTTCATCACCCTTAACTGTTACTTTCCTCAACCCCCAAAGCCCTAGGCAATCACTAAACCTACTTTTCTGTCTCTACAGATTTGCCGATTCTGGGCATTTCATATAAATGGAATCATACAAAATGTGGCCTTTTGTGACTGACTTCTTTCATTAGCATGAACTTTTCAAGGTTCACCCATGTTTTGGTATGTATTTGCATAACATTTTTTTCAAGTGCCAAATAATATCCCATTGTATGGATTTACCCTCTTCTTCATTAAGCTGATGAACATTTGGGCTGTTTCCACTTTTTGGCCACTATGAGCAGTATGATGAACATTCACATGAGTTTTTCTGTGGACATGTGTTTCTATTTCTCTTGAATATGTATCTAGAAATACAACTGCTGAATAATGTGATAATTCTATGCAGATTTTTTTGGTTTCGTTTTTGAGAGGGTTTCCCTCTGTCGCCCAGGCTGGAGCACAGTTGTACGATCATGGTACATTGCAGCCTCCATCTCCTGGGCTTAAACAATCCTACAACAAAACTAGGTAACGAAATATGCCCACAAAACCTCAGAATACATATAGCCAGAGACAAACCACTCACAACTACAATTCCTGCTTAGTATCAGCTCTGTGCAAAATAAACAGAAGTAAACAAAAGGGTATATAATTGACCTGAAAACTCCAGAATAACCTAAGTCAGAGGGCCAAACTGAAAACAGCAGCTGAAATCAGCAGGGCTTGGCATACTACGAAACAAGGGTAAAAGGTGCTCAATAAGGTATTTTCAGGGACCACAGCAAACAGGGACCAACCTAAAGTTACCTTCAAAGAAAAAAGTAGTACACTGAAGAAAAACTACTGACAAAAAAATCCAAACGAAGCAAGACAACACAGTAAACACAAAAGAAGGTAAGAGGGAGGGAAAACATCTCAGAAAGCTAAGCCACATTTTAAAACTATTTCACAAAAAAAAAAACAAAAGAAGGGCTCACACCTATAAACCCGGCACTTTGGGAGGCCAAGGCCGGTGGATCACTTGAGGTCAGGAGGTCAAGACCAGGCTGGCCAAACATGGCAAAACCCCATCTCTACTAAAAATAAAAAAAATTAGCTGGCCATGGTAGCATGCACCTGTAATTCCAGCTACTCAGGAGGTTCAGGCATTAGAATCATTTAAACCTGGGAGGCAGAAGTTGTAGCAAGCTGAGATTATGCCACTGTACTCCAACTGGGATGACCTACTGAGATTCTGCCTCAAAAACAACAACAACACCACCACCAACACCACCACCACCACCAAGCAAATCTATGGAGAGAGAAAACATATTGGTAATTGCCTACCGTATAAAGGGAAATGGAGAGTAAATGCTAATAGGTACAAGGTTTCTTTTTGGGTTGATAAAAACATTCTAGAATTAAATAGTGGTCACAGTTGCACACCTTGGAATTACACACTTTAAAACAGTAACATTTTACGGTATGTGAATTATATCTCAAAAAAAACGATACAGAAAATGAAAGAACAAATCAGAATTAGAAAAACCTAGAAAAGAATCAAAAATAAAAGAATAAATGTGAGGCCAGGCACAGTGGCTCACGCCTGTAATCCCAGCACTTTGGGAGGCCGAGGCGGGCGGATCATGAGGTCAGGAGATCGAGACCATCCTGGCTAACACAGTGAAACCCCATCTCTACTACAAAATACAAAAAGTAATTTGGACGTGGGACACATGCCTGTAACCCGGGCTACTCGAGAAGCTGAGGCAAGAGAATCGCTTGAACCCCGGAGGCAGAGGTTGCAGTGAGCCAAGATCATGTGACTGCACTCCAGCCTGGGTGACAGATCAAGACTCCGTCACAAAAATAAAAGTAGCTATTTTTAATTCCAAAAAGAAAAAAAAAAGAATCAATGTCAGAAATGAAAACTAAACAGTACACAAGAGCAATGCCATGAAGGATTGGACCACAAATGGCAAATATAGAAAATAGACAAACTAAAAAAAAAAAAAAAAAAAAAAAAAAAAAAAAAAAA